TTTCCACGCTTTAACTTTCAGTGTATGAGTTTCTTTTTGAATTAAGTGTGTTTCTTGTATGCAATATATTGTTGGATTTTGCTACTTGACCCATTCTGCCGGTCTATTTCTATTTGTTGGTGAATTGAAACCATTAACATTGATAGTTATAACTGATACGTATTGATTTATCATCATGACTTTTTCTTTTTGTTGGATTCTCCCCCTTTGTTTTAATTTCTTTTGTGCCTAATGGATTCATTCTGCTGGGCTTCCTGGAGTTGTGATTATATATTTAAATTTAAAGATCATTGGCTATTTCAAAAATATATAGCCCAGTAGTGAACCAATCTTACATCTACACTGATTCAGTAAATACTGTCATATATTACTTAACAATGAAGACATAGTCTAAGAAGTTATAATTAGAAGATTTTCTTCCTATAAGAACTTCTCAAAACGTATTTACATAGATGGTAGAAACCACTCACTGGGCACACCTTTAGATGCAATCAAGAGTTGTAAACATGAGATATATGAGGCTGCTGCCAGCAAAACAAGGTATATTATTTTACAATAAACTTTTCTTTTTATGAGTAGCAAGAGTATGCTCTAATGTAAAAATAGAATGTATTAGACACATAAACCAATAACATAGTTGTTTATTATCAAAATCCAGTATTATCTGCTGTATATCATTGCATGTGCTATACTTTTACACAACTGGGAAAAAAAGTTTGTTTACACCAACTTTACCACATGCATGTCAATAATGCTTTGTCATGTGAAATTGTGAAGAAAGTTTATGGGATTTTTTCAGCTCCTTCATGATCTTATGTTACCACTGTTGTCTATGTGTTCTGTTGTTGACATCATTAAGTGGTTCATGACTACTTATGGCAACCAAATGTAAGTTACACCTCTCATTGGATCTCAGGCCATTCTTTGCACACAATGTTTATGGCAGCCTTTTTCACAACTCTCAAAACTTAGAGGGAACAAGATACCCTTAAGTATGTGAACAGATAAATAAATAGATGATGGAATGTTATTTGGAATGTTATTTAGCAGTAAGAAGAAATTAGCTATCAAACCACGATGAGTTTGAGAAATCTGAAATGTATAATAATAAGAAGCCAATCAGAAAAGGCTACATACAATGTGACTCCAAGTATATGACATTCTGGTAAAGGCAGCACTGTGAAAAGAGTAGAGATCAATGTTCATCAGGGATTGGGTTAGAGAGGTTATGAACAGGCAGAGCACAGAGATTTTTAGAGCAGTGAGACTGCTCTGTATGATAATATAATGGTGAATACAGCTCTAATCCAGGCCACTCTGGAAGTTGAAAATACAGCATGTCTACTATACACTGCCTCCTACCAACACAGGTGGAGCACGGCCAAATTCTCATGATTATCACACCTTTATCTGTCACCCAGAGGCATAGGAGGACAAGTAAAACCAGAATCACTTAAGAGCCAAGCTTCTAGTTGCTAATGAGAGCTCTGTTTGCTTCTTTCTCCATAAGGACACCCGTGCCACCTGAGTACTGGATTTGTGCAGGTAAGATTAGGTCTTTTGAGCTCTTAGAAGAATATACCAGGTATCTGTTGTTGAGAACCAGGTTCTCTGAGCACAGCTTGGTACAATTTCTAAATAGTTATATGAATTAATTCTATTGTCATTTTCAGTGTTTCTTTATTCTTCTTTTCTAATGATTTTTCCCTCACTTTTTAATGGTTTTGGAAAGTTGAGGGGAATATATTTTGAAAGAATGGGGGAGAACTCCAAGAAGAGTGAAGGAAGCTGTGTGAGGTGGAATGCACCTATGGGCTAGACTTCACCTTGTATTTGGTCTGCATTTGGTTATGTGTGCCAGTATACACTCATACTCACAACTGTATGTGGCCTCTCGACAGTTCTTATGCTTACCTAGAGCTAACATGGAAAATGTAACCTGATTAACTTCCTCCCAAACCCCTCTTCCAAACCCTCCTCAGCAATATCTGAGGCATAACTCTAAACTATAGAGAAAATCTTTCCATGCCTTTGCATGGAGAATCTTTATAAGTGGCTGGCTGGCTGCAGACTCAGGGTCATCATTAAAGAGACTTTTGTGTAAATAAAATGAAGACTAATATTTGCATGGCATTTCACAATTCATCAAGTCCTTTGTTACATTGGGTGTTTCACTTGCTGTAGCATTCCTGGGAAGTGGATGTTATGATCACTTTACAGATACATAAGCAAAGGCTCAGAAAGGCAAAACATGCCCAAGGTGCTCAACTAGTATGTAGCCAGGCCACTGGTTAAAGCTTCCAAAATTGAATTATGCTTATTCTAGCTTTAAGATTTATGTGATGATGATACTGATACCTTAACTATTCTCACAGCCAATCCTTTAACCTGAAGCACTCAAGTCTGAAATAATGAAAGAAGTTCTTTGTGATTCAAAGGCCAATTTACCAAAAGTTACTTAGGGAAATTACATGGTCAAAGAAGGAGTTCCAGGACCATTGAGTCTGGTTCCATCTCTGTTTACATTTCTGTTTATTTCATTTCTGTTTACAACTGGTACCACTCTTGGCAAGTTATGTTCCCAGATTAGACTCATTCTTACCCACACAGGGCTATTTTTGAGGAATGAATAAAATAAGGCATGAAAAGCAAACAATGCTATTTAGAACTTGATAAACATTTGTTCATCATAATCCTTCATTTTTTTCTGACTGCTTTGTTCCTATGACTGCCCAACTGGCCATTTGGAAGCAATAATCTGTACTGACTAGCACTTCCTACATACAGACTCATGTGTACTTTTCAACTTTGTTCCAAAATTGAATGCTTTTGGTGAATCTGAAAATATGTTCTCTAATTCAGTGGTCATTTAAGCTACAAATGTCATAACTCTTGTCGTCTAAGTAGTGCCAAGCATATCAATATGTTGCTGGAATTTATTAATTTTCATGGCATGATTCTTGAATTTCTACCAAGATAAACCCCATCATCTACACTGAAAACAAACTTTCTTTTACAGAAAAAGTAAGAGGAAAAACCTAATCCTTATTTGTTTTCTATATAATAATTCTTTGGCCCAGATTGCCTTCTCTATCATACTTCCATTTATTTTTATTTTCTAGAAATAGTTTTCTTTTCTTAGTACATGTTTAGAATATATAATGAATATATTCATTGTGGGGAGTTGGTGCATACACATATTGCATCTTAGTCCTTTTTACTTCCCATTCCCCTTTATTCCTTTTAGCCATTGAAATATCTAATGCTTGAGGATTGTTCTTGATACAGTAAAGTCTACATATATATAAGCTTGAGTGTATTTTCTGTATCTTCATCTCATTCCTGTTTGGAAATTTGAAATCTGCATTAACTCTTAGTGAACATTAAGGTAAGTGAAAGTCTACAATTTTTTCCAAGGGTAATACCTTTCAGAATATAGTTAATATTTTCCATAAATACAAATAGGTTGATGGGGGATAGTTATAATGTCTTTTCTCTCTGGTACATCTTGAAGATAGACTTCTAGATAAAACTCAAGTGCAATCCTCTGTCTTTTTTTCTTCACTCCCTTAGCAAGAACCAGACTCCTTGTCACACAGCCTAGGGACCAAGCCCTTTGTTGAGATTGTTTCTGAGGTATTTACCACATTGCAGCCCTGAGTTTACTTACCAAGCTCTAGAACTAGACTCTGTTGTCTTCCTTAAGGGGAAGTACTTTAAATTAGCATTTTTAAAGCTCAACACCTAATATTCTGATACTAACTTGTTTGTTTTTTTCTCTTCTGAAACCTACGTAAATATTTCCAGTGATGTTCTAGAAACAATGCTGTCTGTCTTTTCTCAGTAGAAATTTCTAGCAAGACAGGGACAACAGCAAGATGACAGCCACCTGTATCTTTTGACATCCTTCTCTGGGCCCTAGGGACATCTCAAAGTTAATTCCTGACTGATTTAAAATGAAGAAGTCATGCAAAGACAATTCTTTTTACCAGACTAAAGTTTTGCCCTTTATTGGGGTTGGGGATTGCTATATTTCTTAGTATTTCACAACCTAAGCACGAAGTCATGGTGTGGGTTTAGGTTCAACCCATTATTATTAATTGTATGACCATAGGCTGACTTGGCCCTAATGACTCTCTCCTCACAACCCTAAGCAGGGCAGCTATCACAGGCATTAAATGATTTGATGCACTCTGAGCACTTAGAATTTGCCTGGTATATGGAAAGAGTTCCACAGCATTAGAATAATAGCATCGCTACCATCTATTCTTCTTCTTATTGTTATTATTATTAGGGTAGTGGAGGTAATTATTTCCTTAAATGGATTTGGTCTATTTTAATATGTTTTGTGTATGTTCATGTTGAGTTTCTACCTAAAATGATTGGGTAAAAATGTTTGAAGTATAACAATATGATTAACAAAAATCAATGAAGTGTCATCAAATATGCTCTATTTTAAAATCCTCTATTTTAAAAAAGGTTCTCTGAAAAGGGACACATAAGCTCTGAGAAAACCCTATGCTAATGGTTATGACCTGGACTACAATTCAGAGACCTCTTCCCTTGGTCCCAATATTGCCTATTTTATTAACTTGCTATGTGACCTTGATAGAGTTACTCAATATTTGTTGTTTCAATATCCTCACTATAAAATAGAAATAATTATACATGGCTTGTCTCTGTCAGAGAGATATCATGGGGAGCAGGTAAAATGTATAAAAGCTTTATTTGTATTATAATATTCTTTGTATTTTCATATTATTGTATATTATTGAACAAATGCATAATGAAAAGTAAGTTTCTGTTAGATATAAGACCATCAGTATGTTCATATAATAGAAAAATTACTGGACTGAGAGTCCAAAGTCTTGTTTACTTGTCACATAGGGCTGAGTGAGTCAAGTCACAAATACTCCTTGTCCTTGTAACCTGTGACTCACATATCAGTAAATTAGATTACGTGTTCAGAAAATGCCCTGCAAACTGGAAAGGTTCTTCTTAACATAAAATAGTCACATAATCTTTGTTTATTTAATTTTAAAACCCATCAATTTTGATAACTGTTGCTCAAATATCTAACAAAAAGAATTAAGGTCTCAAAGGTACCTTCCCTTGTACTGTATTATTCACGTACACCGAAGTTGTCAAGTAATGAGCTCACAAGCGCTCTCTTCTCCTTCTCAGGACATTGCTTTCTTCAGTCAACCAGCACGAATATGATAGCGGACACTACCATGTTTTTGGGAAAATTTCTGTACTATGCTTTAGAATCCTTAGTTGTTAACATAATTCCCAAGAGTAAAAAGGATGTTGCTGGAGAGATTGTACTTATAACAGGAGCTGGAAGTGGACTTGGGAGGCTGTTGGCCATGCACTTTGCCAGGCTTGGGGCCATTGTAGTTCTCTGGGACATTAATCAAGAAGCCAATATGGAGACGTATAGACTGGCCAAAGAAAAGGGTGTGAAAGTCTTTGCCTATCAGTGTGACTGTAGCAGCAGGAAAGAGATCTACAGAGTTGCTGATCAGGTAAGCTGATGGGTGTTCTTCACTTTAGTGTCCAAGGATATCCCATCTATTATGCACTTTTACAAAGACAAGAGGAGAGACATTAACATAAGATTTCCCCTAGATCTCCATGAGTCTCTGTGACCTTCAAAAATAACAGAGCAAGTGGAAACTTGATCAACCTTCAGAGATCTTCTTTGCATGATGACTCATTATTCAGCAGGAGTTGGTAGAAACTGGGCATAATCCTGGTTCTGTGGCTCACTGGCTATGGAATGTTTACCAAGTTACTTTCACTCTCTCCATCCCTGCTTCTTTATCAGTAAAATGAATGGTTTGAACCAGATGACTTTCAAAATCATGTACAACTTTAACTTAGCTTTTTATGGTTCACAATTCTAATATCAGCTAAATTCCATTCAATCATGTGATAATTCAATTATCGTCATGTTCTGAGACTATAGGGTAAGGAACGTAGGATATAAATATTTAGCATACTTTCAGACCAAATTTCTTCTTAGAATTAAAATATTGACATTTGTTCTAACTCCATACTAAATGACAAAGATTCATTGCTTGGCTACCATGTACTCTAACAGTAGGCAACCCTCTGAGGAGTTTTTAAACCATGGGGTAAGGTGTGATGAGGCCAGATGCAGATCAAAAGTGAGGAAAATGAACATGTTGTACAGCTTTGTTTTATTCACAGTCCCCTAGAGAAGGCACAGCACATGGTGCAGGGTCACCAAGGAAAGCATCTGCAGAACAGGAGGGCAAGGGAATAGTACGTAAATACCTTTATTCTACTTTCCACAGGAAAAAAGGGTCTATTCAGGGCAAATTGTCTTAGGGTTGGTCAACTGAAGTAACTTCAGGAAACTCTAGGGTATAGGGGCTGCCCCGGGATTTCTGGCACCTGACTCTAGGGTGGTTGGGGAAGGAAAAAGTAGCCCGGAGTGTGAGAACACAATAAAGGGAAGTGGTTGGATATGTAAACTTAATCACTTATTCAAAAAGAAAACTGACCACCCTCTAGCCAGGGCCACAAAATTGGATCAAGACAGCACCAAAAAACACACAAACAAGTAAAAACAAAAGATATATTAACTATACTACAAATAGTTACTATTATAAGCAATTTAGGCACAAACCCACTCATTTAATCAGCACCACCGCCCTCATGGGTGTTTACCATTATTATCATCCCCATTTTAAAAGTGAGGAAATTGAGAAACAAAGTGTATGTGACCATGGCCAGAATCAAAATTACTGATTGGCAGAGCCAAGATTTTTTCTCACACAACCTGGAGCCGGAAAGTTTAGACAATTTGGTAACATAATTCCCACAGGATTTTCCTTCCCTTTTGCAATCTAAACTCCATATATGGGATTCACTTAGGGAACCATTCAAAACTGAATGACTGAGTTGCCACTCTGTGACACTCACCTTCTGATCCACTGTCCTCACTCTTCTCATTCCCGTTCTATTACTTTCTTCTCTGCTTTGGAGCCCCATAGGATTTGTTTTTTATGACTCATTGTCAGCTAATGAGAAGATGTACAGCTCCCTGGGGATATTTTAGTACAGAGTAAATAGAATCAAAATTAGTCTTCATCTTGTACCAGAGAAAGAAATGTGGTAGGAAACGTTCCCAGATGAGTATCTCTGGGGTGAGGAGTTTAGGGTACAGTCTGTCTAGCAGGGGTTTTGGTCTCAGAACTACATACTTCCCAAGACAGAAGCCCTGGAAAAATCTTTTCTCCTACACTATTATCATGTATCATCTTCACAATGAAGTAGATGCTATCATTTTCTCTATTTTATTAATGACAAAACCCAAGCAGTGAGAGTTTAAGGAACTGAGCCAGGTTACAGAACAGATGAGTGACAGAGCTGAAGTGCACCCCATCCTCCCACTATTACAGCCCATGTTGCCACTCCACAGAGGCATCGACGATGTGCAGGCAATGCAAAGACCCGCTCATACACGTTCTTAGCTTTCTGCCTCCGTTGAAATTTTTCTATCTTAGTTAAAATTTTCTTTGTCTCTAATAGAAAACTGGGCTTAAAAACCTTGCTCAAAAATCACCTTTGAGCTGGGCATGGTGGTGCACACCCGTAGTCCCAATATTATGGGAGGCTGAGACAGGAGGATCACAATTTGAGCTCATCTTAGACAATTTAGTGACTTAGCTGAACCTTATTTAAAATAAAAATAAAAAGAGCTGAGGATGCACCGTAGTGCAAAGGCCCTGGGTTTAATCTCACTATCACAAAAAAATCATTTTTCATCATTGGATTGTATCTGAAACTTTTCTTCTTGTCCAAAATTCTACAAATAGAAGTTTTCTAAGTCAACTACTCTTATTTAATTTCAATTACTCATAAACTCCCAAGAAAACCAAATAATAACAGTAACCTTTAGTTGTAAAAATTCCAACAAACTACAGACATTACTGAAACCCTTGACTCCTGTGGGAGATTTGAAGAATAATGACAGGATTCTGATGGGACACAGAAACTAACTCTCCAAAATTAAATTGAAATAGAATTCTCATCTCCAGTGCAGAAAGTCAATATACAAATAAATAATTGTTTCTGTTAAAAAATAACCAGCCTCATAATTTATTTCCAAATCTCCAGGTCTAATCAATCATTGGTATTTATTAGATTTGTTTGCTACAAATAATTCTGTCAAAGAATAGTGGTAAATTTGGGTGAAAAGGGCTTTCATGTGTGAAACCAAATTGGGTATGAATCATTGCCATTCCTCATAAAAGTCTTTTGGCAAGATCATAATTTCTCAGAGTCTCTTTCCTCATCCATGAACTGGGAAAATAATGTCTTCTTAAATTGCCTTTCAGAGCACCATGTAAATGAAACCCCATGACCTAGATAAAATTCTCCCTGCCTCTGATGTGCCCTAGACTCGGAGCTTTTTGAATTGGGTAACAGTGACTGCTGGGTTTTTCTTGAATATTTGGGCACATTTTATGCCAAAGATCCCATATCCTTTTCTCCTTCTCAGCCCAATTACCCTGTTCATTAGTCCAGGACTGAGAGCTTGTGCTTACCTAGTCTATCACCAAGCCAACAAAATGTCCTTCTTTTAAAGTTCTTGCAGGGCACTGTGGCACTGGCCTGTAATCCCAGCCCTCTGGAAGGCTGGTGTAGGAGGATCAGAAACTGGAGCCCAGCCAAGGCAACTTCGTGACTTAGTGATAACCTGTGTGAAAATAAACAAGAGGACAGGGGAGGCTGGGGTCACAGCTCAGTGTGAAGGCCTTTGGTTCAATCCCCAGTAACCCTTCTCAAGAAGAAAGCCTTGCAGGGTGTGGTAGCACATGCTCATATGCCCAGCCATCTTGGAGATTGAGGCAGGAAGATCACAAGTTCGAGGCCAGCCTGGGAAATACAGCAAGACTCAGTTTCCCAATGAAATAAATGGGGGATGGAGCTTGGATCCTTGCCTATCAACCAGCAGGGTCTGGGTTCACTTCTTCATACTGAAAAACGTTAGCCTCTTGTAGATGTTTTCCCGGGTCTTAACGCTCTCCAAAACAGAAGAGACTAATCCTTCAGCCCAACATCAGGGCAGCAAATATTCATCCTTCCTTTAACAACTTACCTCGCTCAATTTCAATTTCATCAGCAGCAATAGTTACCTAATTTCTCCAATTTGTGTTATTTGGCAGCATCAATACATAGCATGGACCAAGAATTAGAAAGTCAAGTCCGGGCAGGCAATGCTTTTTGTTTGAAAACAAAGAAACAGATTATCATAGCTGCCAAAACACACACACACACACACACACACACACACATACACACACAGAGAAAATCAATGTTGAAACATGCTTCATGTTTTGCCCCTTGGTCAACTTTAGCAAATAGTTTGAAATAAAATGGTAAGAGAGAAAAATAGCTCCTCTGGTTTTTCCTGAAGCACACTTTTCTCCAAGGAGAGCTCGTGGTGATTTGTGGATTACGCAAGCTGGAAAGGTACCCTATTTAGGAGGAAAAGGATGAGGCTTTATAAAAGCGATGAGCAGCAGTGCAAGCTGTGGAGCCTGGGGAAAATATTAGTCTCAGATAGTTAACTGCACTTGAGACAGACTTTTAAACAGGGTCACAGAAGTCTATGAGCACTGGATCGAACACATCTGTGTGTGAGATGTCTGTGTGCCATCCTTAGAAGGATGGCATGTGTCCCTAGCACCTGGAAATGACACCTACAGAAATAACCAGCAGACATCTACTGTCCTAAGAAAAAAAAACCCTAACTGCCATTTGAAGGAAGATTCCCAGAGTTGCACAAGGAGACAGTGTTGCTCTTTCTGCACTGACATTAACTGACCCACCAAGAAAGGAATGAACACAGTAAAACTGGGCAATAAAGAAAATATGTTGAGATACACAGCAGATAGCCTCCACATAAGAATCAAGAATTTTTTTAAACAAAATTGCCTAAAAATGTGCTTTTTAAAAAATTTTAATTGATCATAAAGTTACTTTAAATTTGCTATGTTACTTTATGTAAGATAAAATATTTAGTTTTAAAGAAACTAGAATTAGCATTGCTAAATGACAGGAAACATTCTGAGAAATGCATTGCTAGGAGATGCCCTCACAAAGCATAGCTACGTAAACTAAGATGCCTATGATGACACTAGACAATATAATCTTGGGACTACCATTATATAAGTGGTATATCATTGATGATAACATCATAAAATGAAGAAAAAAAAGTGACTTGTGAAAATAAATACCAAAACACAACACCTGGATTGATTTATGTTTGCCTCACTTCTGGACAGGTTAAAGAGGAAGTTGGTGATGTGACTATCCTCATTAACAACGCTGGCATTGTGACAGGGAAGCCCTTCCTTGACACTCCAGACCACATGGTGGAAAGATCATTTTATGTCAATGCCATCTCTCATTTCTGGGTAAATTTTTTTCTTTTTTTTGACTGCTGAGTATGAAACTTCCATGCATTTCTATTAATGACTTTTCACATTTGTCTGTAAATATATCATTTGAGGGTTTTCCATCTATAAACTGTTGTAGATAGTCTTTTTCCCAGTCGTTTCTGATAGAAACACATAGCCACTCAGTCGTGGGCACATGGGCACAGCAAGGAGGAAATCCAGACAGCAGACGGCAGGTTCTTGTCCTAACTGAAGGGCAGGTGGCAGGTGGCCATGCTACAGGGAGAATAGCACTGACTGTTCACCCAGCCACTGGGATCAGGGCCTATTTTCCAGAAACTGGAAACATCTAAACCAGGAGGTCTCCTTATTTGTCAAATCAAAGTTAGGATTTGGGAGAAAAAAGAATTAAGTCTGCAGTCTCAAAATAAGAAACTAAAGTCAGAGGAGAAAAAGCTTGCAGACTTAAAACCGGACCCAAAAAGCAGAAACACAGCTAGCAGACAGTCTGGAATCCGTCAGTGCCTTGCATGTACCTGACAGGGACCTCCCTTCATCAGAGCCCAGCATACAAGCTGAACCGCTTCTTCATAAATCCGGACAAATCAGCTTCCAAAGTCAGCCACGTGTCTCCACACCTCTTGGATTAACACACATCAAGAAATGTCGCACCGCTGAGAAATGTTTTCCAGTTGTTTGACCTCAGAGAATCAATCTGTTGAAACATATCGTCAATCCCTTTTGAGTTATTGAATTGGAAAGAGAAATAATTATGGATGATAAATTAAATAGAAGTTATATTTCAAAGAAATAGTGAATTTATAACTCTGGAATGTCTTCTATGATCCCTGGTCACACTGTTTACCAGTAGTCAAATTCCTTCAGGACAGAAATGTGCTTCATCCGTTTCCCAACATAGTAACCACTAGTTGTCTGTGGCTATTGAGCACTTGAAATGTGACTGGTAAAACTAAAGGACCAAACTTCTAACTTTATGTCATTTTATTCACTTGACTAAATATTTAAATACCCACAGACGCTTAGAGACTATGGCCATGGACACTGCAATTCCAGAGAGGAGAGGCTAGGAAGAGGCTGGGATTTCCAGAGGCATGCCCACTGGGAGGTCTTCCACTCGACGCTGTGGTGGAAAGAACAAGACCCAGCAATGGATGGGGGCATGCAGGAGAGGCTGGTGGCAGAAGCCAGGCCTGCGGGACATCTGGGGACTGATGGGGAAGACAGGGCCTTGGTCCTCTGCTTCTCTGAGGATAGGACCTTGGAATGGGTTTGCTTGTGGTGTTCACAGGCTCCTCTCTTTTTCTGCTCAACACTTTCATATACTCTTCTCGGTCCTCAGAGCTACTTCCTTTGTCTTCTTTCACGGCCACTGGAAAGAAAATGAGAAAGCCCACTGCAGCCAAACAAATCTGTTTTAACCACTACAAACTGAGCACCTCCCAAAGTTTTTTGGCATATAACAAGTGTTCTATAAAATTTTGTGAAAACCGATGATTTCTTTTCTTGTTCTACCACACTCCAAAACTTTTCCTTTTGGAAAGGGAAAGCACCATGTTGGTAAACAGAGCTAGGATTCACCCAACAATAATTCACAAATGCAAAAATAGTCCTTGATTTCTGCCTTTCCATCAATACCAACAATCAGCTCTCCCTGCAAAACATGTTTAAGTATACCTCTATCCATCCCTGCTACCAGCCTCTGGTTCAAGGAGTGTTCATCTCTCACAGATTTTCATGGAGTATATGTGAGAGTGAGGTGATCTTTTCAACACAATCAAATCATTTCACTCTCCAGTTCAAAAATATTCCAAGGTTTCCAAAGGCATTTAGAATAACACACAGTTGCCTGTTGTGACTTTTAGGCCCTGGTATGATGTGGCAATATCTGCCCTTATCTGTCCCCTATCCCTTATTTTTAATTTTCTGCTCATTTTCTATATTCCAAAGATCCTGATTAAATGTAGAACATGTCAAGCTTTCTCATCTGAGAGTCTGCTCTTGCCACAAGCCCTCCTCTCTCTGTCAAGCATACTCTTTCTCCTGACTCACTGAGGAGCACCTTCGTAGTCTGCAAGCTTCACATAGTCATTTATCTTGTATTTTATGTTATATGTATGTTCTGTTGCTTGCCTTGAATAATTAACACAATATTAACAAATATAACCTGTCTTGGTGTATGTCAGCAAATTTAGAAAGATGATTCTGAGCAACCACTAAAATCAAAGCATCACCTTCCAATGTGAAGATGATGAAAGGAATCTTCACTCACTTCTAGAATTTGAGATTGTAAAAATTTTTTCTAATGCTCTGATTAGCTCAACTTTTCCAAATCTAGGAAAACAAACTCAAGGAATATGTCCTTGCCAGATACTTGAGAGTTTTACTTATTTCTTTAATGTCCCTCATACCTGCCAGGGTTTCTGGCCTGCCAGGAAATGACCTCTCTTTCTACCTGTGATCTGGGAGAGACCATGTAGACCACAGAACAGGTATCACTCCAATGTCTTGGGGAGGCAGCTTGATAACCATTGGTGCCACATATGAACTACAACCATTGTTCTTCAGGAGTGGGCTTGTTATACGTGATGAAATGGCAGGCCTATGCTCTGGTCAGCTTATCAAGGTTTTCAATTATATCCTGACATAAAGAAGGCCTGATTCTTACTGAACATATGCAAACAGGTGCATCACCATAAAAGATATAGAATCTAACTAACAATCATCATAATAGACTCGGTCAACTGCCCTCAGCATGTCTGTGGACAAGGGCAATGAACATCTTTCATTGGATCTATAAAATGATTTGATTGTTTATATGTATATGGTAGTAAGACTAAGCCAAATTTCAATCCATATATTTTGCTAAGCTTAGTCCACTGTGATAAAATTCACTTGAATTTCAACTACTGTAATTATCATCATTTTTACATTCCTTTTAGGATTCACTCAGTTTATAATCTAAACTCAGATTTCCCATAAAAATGTTTCCCTGAATTCTGGGAGTATTGGCTGATTAAAGAACATTGAAAAATAATTTCAATCCTGCTTGAATAAGTATAATTTCCTGAATATGTAGATCCAGAAGAAAAAGACTTCCTCACATATCAATTAGAAAATAGAACCCTAACCACATTAAATGTCTCTCATTGATTTTATAGTCCAGCCCTATACAATGTGCCTTCCATTCCCACAGATCCAACCAATTGCATATTGAAAATATTCAAAAAGAAAATGACCATGTATATATTTTCCTTCTCACTATTCCCAAACAATACTATAATAACTCCATTATACTTGGGCTTATAAATAAGGATGCAAAGTAAATGAGAAGACTGTATCAGTTATATGGAAATAGTATACTATTTTATACAAGGAACTTGAGCATCCTTGGATGTACTTTGTGCAAGGGATCCTGGAATTGATTTCCCTCCAATACCAAAGCAACTGTATAAGCAATCCTATTCTGTTTAATCCTGGTCAGAGTCTGCTTTTATAAAGCCATCTGCATGTGGACTAAACAGACTCTATGGCATAATTCTGAGTACTTGAGCCCTAACTACTTTAGTATGCTATTGAATTGTTAAATCAGATAGCTAAAACTTGGCACATATGAAAGATCTGAAGTCTTTTAATAATTATATTAATTACAATAATTATATTATTATTTACCTGTGTAGTTTGCACAGAAAACAGAGACTCTTATCTTTACACAGGTAAAGAATGACCTTTTAACATCTTATTTACAGCACACTGAATATTTCAAAACCAATTTTAAACTACAAGGTCCCTTGCCCTTATTATAACTAAGTTTCTTTTGCTCATTAATTTTAATATGCATATATGTGCATGAGCTTAAACATACACAAAGGTGCAGGCAGCTTGGAATGACATCATTTTCACTTTTAGTAATAACTTTACAATATAATTAACCATATCATTGTTTAAAAAGTTGTTCTATACAAAATATTGGACTAATTGGCTTAAGTTTTATAAGAAATATGTTAAAATTGTGCTTGATAACTCAATTCCTATTCTCTATTAATTTTAACCTCTTTAAAAATGGTATAGGTGACTCAGGAATTTCTCATAAATTTGTACAATTTAATATTTAATAGTAATAATAACCACTTATTTAAGTAGATACAAAATACTTGTTTGCTCAGATGTTAATATCACTTTACATGTTTTCTGTTTCTGAAATAATCCTTATTATATTATCAATCAAAAACTTTAAATGATAACAGATTTAATATCCACTTGTTAACACACAGTTGAGAATCTTGAGGGGAAACACATCACAGGCGTATATACAATTATAGAAATTCTTGTTATATATGCACCACGGAAGATATATCTTATTACTTTTTCCATATTCTAGAAAACATTCAAATGAAGATAAGTAGGTTCTGACTGTGGATATAAAGTTTTCTGGTGGTTGAGGTCCTTCATTTTATTTTATCATGATAAGAAAATCCAAGATTATTAGTGCTGAATTTCTCATCATACACATTCATCTAAGAACACAGTAAAAAATTTATAAAGGAAAATTATAGATTGATTAATTTGGGTGTTTTATAATAACAATTAATTCACTGTTGGTAATATCTGCTAGAGAAGGAAAAAACAATGGAAGAAAATTCTTCCAGTTATTTAGATCTAGTTTTTAAAAAATGGAAACAACAAACAAAAAAATAATTGCAAAATTATATGATGCGATTTCTGGCCTAGTCTAACTTTCCTAGTACCATTTTTTGATGTTTTCTTTATCAGAGTAAAAATCTGAAAAGAAAGACACATAGTTTTTTCCCAAAATATAAATTTTGTTAAAATAAGCACATATAATGTTCACAAGCTGAAAGTATACAAAACCATTAGAGAAAACACTACAGTTGAGTACATGGGTATAGCATATAGACTGTAAAATGTCTCCACAGCAGTTACTAGGCCTTGTGTCCAGATGTCCCCCCAGAATCCTCATGTGGGCTTTTTCAGAAGTGGCTAGATCTAGAGTGTATGATGATGGGATTAAAGATGTGTGATTACTGAATCAGTTCACTGATTGGTTTGGTTTAGTTCCATGTGTGAGTGCTACATGCTCTGAGGGCCGAAGGCTGGTAGCCTAGATAGACTGTAAAAGGGTTAGAAAGAGGGTACTATTATTGCTTGCTCATTTTGCTACCTTCTGCCCACCAGGAACTATTTCTCCTCTGCAATGCCTGTCTGCCATACCACCCTGCCTCAGAGCCAGCCAATTATAGACAAAACCTCTAGAAAATGTGAGCTAAATAAACCTTTCCTCCTCTAGCTTTGGAAGTCTGGTACTTTGTCTCAGCAACAAGAACAAGTAACTAAGACAGCATGTAGGGGCTGATCCTTCCCTCTACCTGTTTGATGATTTATAATCACACCAAAGTACTATCAAGCCTGAAAACCAGGAACTACTGATAACAAGTAGCTCAAAGAGCTCAGATATTTCTTTAAGAGTATAATTCTTTGAGTAAATGAAAATTCAAAATGGTATGTTTTTGTAACTCATTCCAGTGTCAAAGTTTAAGCAAAATATCTAAACATACAAATCCAGCCTGGAAATATTTTTAAACATAAGAAGTTCATTCATTAAATTTTTCCAAGAAAAAAGTCTCATATAAATACAATAAAATAAAATCAAACAATTCTGATGCTTTTATACATTACATCCCACATATGATAAAATTAAGGAATCAGTACTATTTATCAAACAAGACTGATTTGTTCACACATTTACTTTGGTTATGGGTAATGTGTAACCTGGATCCACATGTAATTCTCTGTTAATTTCCCAAGTACTAAAAATACTTTTAAAAAGTTAAAATACATTCTTGACAACAAACATCTACGTAGTAAAGATAAATGATGATTTCTATTACCAATCCATCTTCAAAGTGTTCTTTAAAAAGCTCTGCCCTGATACACAGGGCTGCGAACACAAACACACTTTTGTACAGTAGTCCTGTTATCCAGTTTTGCTTTCTTCAGTTTCAGTTACCTGTGGTCATCCATACTTTGAAACCATACTTTGAGTAGCAGGTTGAAATCTCACACTAAAGCACTCTGTCCCACCCGTGACATGAATCATCCCTTCGTCCAGAACATCCACAATGTATGTATCTCCCACTCCCCAGTCACTTAGTAGCTGAGTTACCAGATGACTGTTGTGGTATCACTGTGCTTGTATGCAATTAACTCATTGTAAGTAATAATGTCCTCAATGTGCAAGAGTAATGGTGCTGGCAATTCAGCTTTGCCAAAGAGAAGCTGTAATGTGCTTCTTGTAGGTACAAAGGTGAAAGTTCTTGACTTGGCAAAGAAAGAAAAAAAATGGTACGCTGAGATTTGCTAGGATTTATAGTACAAGAGATAGTTTGAGAGAAGATAGAAGCTACGTTCACATAACTTTTATTACAGTATATTGTTACAGCTTGTCTGTTTTATTATTAATTATTGTTGTTAATCTACTATTCTTAACTTATCACAGGTGTGCATGTTTGGGAAAATATAGCATGTATACAGGGTTCAGGACTATTTACGGTTTCAGGCATCCATAGAGATCTTTAAATGTAACCCCGATGGATAAAAGGGAACCCCTAATAGTACCTAGTCACTTTCTTTCTGTGAGGGAAAATGTTCCTCAATTGAAAATGCAGGAAACTAGTATCAAATTCAGTCCCAACTCAAAAGCAGATACTCTACAAATACACTTGCCAAAAATATATTTGCCTATATCTCACTAGGTGTACCACAGGGTCCCTGGGAGATGCCCTCTGGAACTTAGGGCCCAGATGCTTCAGACTTGTTCGAAAGATAACTACCAGCTCTTGTCATCCCAAACTAGCTATGGTCACAACTGATGCAACAAAAGTTTTCAGTTTTTAATTTTGAAAGATGCACATGTTATGACCACAAGAAACAAATCCATAAATTGCTACTGTACTTGAACATGAAATGTCAAAAGAGGTCAATTGTCCCCAGGTAAGCAGATACTCACTCATCAGTTCAGCAGTTAGAGAATAAGGTTAGAGGCTTTGAAAGCAAATATGCTACTCTTTGCTCCCAGAGCTGTTCTCTGTAGATGAGCACATCTGGGCAGACTTTCTAAAACCCTAAATATGAAATTCTGACATTGTTAAAATCATAAATCTCATAGAAATAGATGAGGAGAATTGTCAAAATTTTATTAAAATCATTTATGGAAGAACCAACAGAATGATATAGCTACCAAAATGATGATTTATATATTCATGTGATAGGCAATGTGATATGCAAATGATTTATATATTCTTGGGGAAAGGAATGTTGAACTAAAGAAGCTAAACTCTTGGGCCGGGGATTTAGCTCAGCGGTTTCGCTGCCTGCTGTGCAAACACAAGGACCTGAGTTCGATCCCCGGTACCAAAAGAAAAAGAAAAAAAAGAAGCTAAACTCTTAACTCTGGTATTATCTTTTCTATTACACCAAAAGAACATACTTAATGGACCAGGGATTTAGCTCAGTGGTGCCACCACGTGCCTTGCAAGCACAAGGTCCTAAGTCTGATCCCCGGTCCTGTACCAAAAAGAAACAAAAAGAACACACTTACTAATTTTCTGCATGCTAACTTCAAATTTTATAAGATTGTGAAATCTCTAGGTCCTAATCACTACCAAAGTTACATTGCCCCACATAGTGAGATGACCCTCAAGGAACTTTATTAGAAAATGCTTTAGCATGAAATCATATCTGCCTTGTTTCCAAGATTTTTATAATTATTTCTGAACAAAGTTGTGTTGGTTACTTTCCCCTCATTGCTGAGACAGAACACCTGACATACAAAGTTGAAGGGGAAGAGGTTTATTTGGCTCACAGTTCGCAGAGTTTTCAGTCCATCGTCAGCTGGCTCCAAGGCAGGGACGGCAAACAGGCCTTGCAGAGGAGAAACAACGTGGCGTGCACAGGTACCAAAGACAACAAAGGCAGCAAGGAGCTCTCACTGTGTCTTTCTGCCTTTTTCATCCCATCCAGACTACCGGGATTAGGAGGAGGAGTTCTAAATCACGCACTCACGTGTAGTGGTTTAGTGATCACACACCCTTAATCCCAGCTTTACACGTTCCAGGTTCAGATACCTCTGACTGAATGAGGCTTTGGAGGGGCACCCAGTCCAAAACCATAACAAAGTTTAAGAAAAAAAAAACACCCAGTATTGGAAAAGAAAGAATGAGAAATTTACCTAAGGACCTGTGAGGTGCAGGGTAAAGAAATGAGATTTTTTTTCATGGTATGGATGCTTAGAAAATGGAATTAATGTCATGCTTGCAGGTAGATGGGTGGAGTTCACCAAAACAGTTAAGAATATAAGTCATAGTAGACATTTGCAAAGTACATATACTTTACTTTCAGGGCATATTTACCCTGCATTGAAATTCACTTTTGCTCTAGGCAGTTTCCCCTCATTCTGTAATCCTCTGGGATAAAGGAAATCTTGTTTGTGGTAAAGTCTAGAAAGCAAATGGAATTAAATTTTAATACAAATCATGGGAAACTACATGAAAGAATTCAGCATAGTATAAAAGCTAAATCTTAAGATTTTAGTCAATCATAAACATAAAAATCTCATTTGATTTGATTAATAGAGCTTCTTCCAAAGAAAAAAATCATATCCCTTCTTAATGAACACATAATAAACCCTAAGCTCCTTGCAGAGTGGTGGCTATTTTCTTCCTACTTTTGTACTGCCACAAGATTTAACACGTATGACTGTTAAATAAATATTAGTTAATGTTTAGTAAATTCATCATATACTTACTAAACAGAGTAATAAATGGATGCAATAATAACATGGTGTATTTTTATATTCCAGACTTACAAAGCTTTTCTTCCTGCCATGATTAAAGCTAACCATGGTCACTTGGTCTGTATGTCAAGTATAGCAGGAATGGTTGGTATTAATGGACTATCAGGTGAGCACTTGATTTCACCATGTACCTTTTTATTCCCCAGTCAACAGCACCCACAAATTAGATCTCTTACAAAAAAGACAGAATGAGCTCTTCTTGTCCCAGAGCAAATCCTGAAACATTTGGCTCTGTTTATTATCCCAAGGTTCCCTTCTATTTCCCTACTTATCATGGCAGTGGTGGAGGAAGATATGCATTCTCCTTTTGATAAATAGAAGAATGTACTTATTTGTTCATTGGTCTTCTTGGGTTAACAGAAGTTAGAATGATTTCTTTTTTTCATTGATTGTGTAGTATGTTGATAAAGTGGGATATTTAGTCACGTAAATATTAGTACTGATGCTCTGTCCTCAGGGACAAACCAGAGAAAGAAGGAGGGTTTTGTTTTGTTTTGATTTGGTTTGGTTTTTTTAGATAATTCCAAGAATTTATTTGTCAAACTCTATAATTAATGGTTCTTCACCTTGTTCCAGATTACTGTGCAAGTAAATTTGCAGCCTTTGGCTTTGCTGAATCTCTCTTCTTTGAATTAAGCCACATAAAGGAAAACAAAATCAAAACCACCATCATTTGCCCCTTTTTCTTCAATACTGGAATGTTTGAGGGCTGTATAACCAAGTAAGTGAACTCTTGAAGTAATCTTTGCTTTTATAAAAATCTTCCAATATATGCATATCATTTTATCATTTTGAAGTTTTGAAATATGACAGTAAAACAAGACAAAAATAGGAATGGTTAATGTAGTAAAACACAAAATTCAATAAATATGAAATTAATAAATTTATTTAACTTAAAAATAATACTATACTTATGAAGTTTATGGAGTGGTAAAAACTTATTCCTGAAATGTTAATCAGAATATTATAGGATAACAGACAAATTGGTAATGAGAACTTATTAAAATATAATTATATATATAAAATATAAAATATAATTAACAGTATATTACTGAGATAATTTCTTTCCTAGAAAAAATTAAAGTATAAACATCCCCAAAGAAAATATTTTGTAAGATTTAGTAATATATGTGAGGAAGTGTTAGAGTGATATTTTGTTATAAAGATTAGATTTACCTTGAACAGTCCAAACTGGAAAGCAAATTAAATACCAGGACTTTCCCAGTTAATATGAGGACTAGTATAGTTATTACAATTGTTAGAAAAGAAACTGATGTAATCTAAATAATATATATCAGCCATATTTGTAATAATGAGTGGCTAAAAGGCACTGAGGCTACTCAGAATCTAATGACACTATAAAATTAAATAGAAAGTTCCAAAGCAGATAGCAAAGGGTTGACAGACTATACAGTGAAAAACTTTCTGCCAAGGACATATGTACTAAATGAGTCAAAATTAACAAGGACAACTACCTAAAATCTTTGAGAATGATCAAAAGGCGTGCTGAAGGTTGAGAAGTGTTTATACAACAAAGTCTACAGAAACTCACTCAGAACACGGGAAGGCCGTGGCACTCGGGTCTAATGCTACATCTGTCCCTTGTGGGATAGCTGTTTCAGCAGGGTTAGCAACCAAGGAGCAATTTCCATCTTTCCAAAGCTATTCTGTCAACACTGACAGTTTGTTTTCAATAACTCCTTGCAGTAGAAGCCTGTATGGAGTGGACAGCCTCGGGCAGAGATTTGTTCCTCCAGCTCCCACTGGGCAGGAAAAAAGGGAAAGCAATGGTTAGTAAAGGATGCAGTTTCTCTCTCCACGCCATCTCTTTATTTTAAGAGATCTGCTCCAGAAGCCCAGTACTAAAATGCCAGTTTCCAAATCTCCTAAGATAGAAGACCAACTTTAAGGTAGATTTATTAGACTTATCATCCCCGGCTCTGGGCCATAGAAACCTACACAGGGTGGTGGCAGCAGCTGGATGGCACAAAGACTTCCTGCCAGCCACCTGCAACTTTTGTATCCTGATTTATAGGGCCAATTTGGGTGAGATGATCAGTGCAGAATGATCACCCCATCTACTGTGCCCTAACACAGATTCTATCAGGTGAAGGCCAAAGCCAGTCTCACAGACAGGCATCTGTGGCCCTGCCACAGGACCTGACTTCAATTAGGTAAGACCATTAATCATAATATTTTCAAGAAAAATAGCACAACCAGTTAGCAAGTAGTAGTGGTTAAAATCTGGGTATTACATGAGGAGTAGAGCAGCCAGAAGCTTAATTAGAAGATTAGCAAAAGAGAACAGTAAAAGATTGTCAGCTAAAGCCACAGTCATCCCTGACAATTAGGAAAACTTTGTTTATGCCTAAGACCACATGTTCTGAGGAATGACATCAAAGCTACACATTGACAGTAGTAGAGGAAAATAGACTTCATTCAAGTAGTCCAATCAAGCCACTAAATAAGCAAGCAAAAAAATAAGCCTCTGGGAGAGCACTCTAAAATATAATATTGGAAATCTCCACTTTTAACAAAAATTATAAGCTATACAAAAAAATAGGAAAGTATAACCCATATATCAGAAAACACAGAAAATAGAAAATAGAAAATGAGATCCAGAGGCTGGAGCAGCAAAATTCAAAGAGCTATTACAAATATATTCAAAGATCTAAATAAATCCATGTTTAAGAAATGAAAAGAAAATATGATGAAAATGTCTCATCAAATATCAATAGGTATAAAATTTTAAAATATAAATTTAAAAGTAGAAAAGAAAAATAACTAAAGTAAAAGAGTCACTAGAGCAACTAAACAGATGTGAACTGGCTAAAAAAAGACTGTGAATTTGAAGACACAATTAGAAGAAAAGGATGAAAACAAAACAAAAAAACAACTTCAGAGAAATTTGGGGCATTGTTAAACTGTAAATATATACATGGTAAGAGTACTAGAAACAGAGAGTATAGATAAGGGCAAAAATCTATTCCAAAAAACAATATTCAAAAACTTCCTATTCAAGAAACTCAATGAACGCCAAGTAGGATAAACACAAGAGGTTCCACGACCACACATATATACAACATGTTGAAATACAAAAATAAAATAATAATATTCAAAGCGGCAAGAGAAAAAAAATGCTTGATCTTGTATAAAGAACTCAAGTACAATTAATAACAATTTCTCAACAGAAACAATGGAAGACAAAAGGCTGTATGGGAAGACATATTAAAAGTGTTAAAAGAAAATATTGTCAACCAATCAAAACCATATGTCAAAAAAGAAGACAAATCAAAAATAGCACTCTTTGCTAGCACCCTACCTTACAAGAAATACTAAAGGAATTTCTGAAGGGTGAAAGCGAGTGACACCAGATAGGAATCTGAAAGCACATAATTTAAAAGCTATAATATTGGCTGGGGATTTAGCTCAGTGGTTTCACCACCTGCTGTGCAAGCACAAGGACCCGAAATCAATCCCCAGTACAAAAAAAACCCTGTATTCTTATAACTTATAAATATAAAACTATAATTATAATGCAATTTCATGAGCAGTGTGTGCATAATAATATTGTTGGACCTATAATAGAAAAATATAATATTTTTATTAAGAGCACAAAGGAGGCAGGAGCAGGCAAATTTGCATTGGAATAAATGACACCAAATGGGAACTCAAATCATCAAAAAGAGACAAAGAGAACCTGAAATGGAGAAGGTTGATATAACAAATGCTATAATATATACTTATTCTTTTTTATCTTCTCTGCTCCTTTATAATGTAAAATTTACAAGGTGATAACTACAACAATGTATTATCATGTTTATAATATAGTGGGATAGAGTAACTCAGCCATACAAGAAGAAAATTTCTATATCTCCTCAAAATTAAGGTAGTAAGATTCTAAAGTAAATTGTGATAGATTTAAGATGCATATTGTATGGTCTAGAAAAATCTCTAAGAAAATAACTTGAAAAATATAGTCTAAAATTATTAAAGGATGGCCCTGTGATCAAAAGGGCATAGAACACAATAGATGAAGAAGAATTAGTAGACCTTTATAGGACATTTCACCCAATAATAGCAGAGTACACATTTTTCTCAAGAACACATAGAACCTTCTTCAGGGAAAACCATATGCGGAACCATAAAACAACCATCAGTAAAATTGAAAGAAATAAAATAATACAAAGTATATTCCACAAGTAAAATGGAATGAGAAGAAATTCTAAGAAATTTATAAACCCATGGAAATATATCAGAACATATGAAATACAACTAAAACAAAGGGAAATTTAGTTGTAATTACGTTAAAAAGAAGAAATGCTACTTCATAACTAGTCTTCCCCTTAAGAAACAATAAAAAGAGCACAATAAATCCAAAGCAAGTATAAGTAATAAATATTGTAGAGAGGTCCAGAGTCACGCAGAAGACGCCGAATCACCCCGCTGCAGACAGGCAGGTCTGCGCACGCCCTACCGAGGTCCCGAGTCATGCAGAAGACACTGAATCACCCTGCTGCAGACAGGCAGCCACCTGGTCCCACACTACAAAGACCCAGAGGACACCAGACCATGAGACCATGGTACTGAGCCCTGCTGCTCCCGGCACAGAGGTAGGGGCTTCTGAGACGTTGTCCCAGTGCTCCTGGCCAAGAGGAAGGGGCTTCCCAGTCACCATCCCTCCCGCTACTCCCAGCCCAGAGCAAAGGGCTTTTGGGCCACCTTCTGTCCTGCTGCTCCTGGCCCAAAGGAAGGGGCTTCTGGGCCACCATCCCTCCCACCACTCCTGGCCCAGAGGTAGGGGCTTCTGAAC